AGAGAGAGAGAGAGAGAGAGAGAAAGAGAGAGAGAGAGAGAGAGAGAGAGAGAGAGAGAGAGAGAGAGAGAGAGCACACACACACCCCCGAGATTGCAAATTCCTATACACATTTTACTTGAAGGGAAATCTCTCTTTTTTTTAAAAAACTCACACACGGATCACCTCAAAATAAGGGGGTGTTATTTCATGTCTATTTCAGTTATGTAGGCAACAAACCAACAGTGCTAGTAAGAACTTCATCTGTAAATCAAGTCCAAAAGAATTCGACTTTCTACCGTTACAGAAAATATAATCTGCTCAAATAAATAAAAACGCTGCATATTAACATTTCCACTATAAAGTATGCATACCGGAATATTTATAAATATTGAACGTTTTTGTTTTTTCCCCCTTCCTTTTCTTCTTCTTCTCCGTAATAACCACCTACTACAATAATGCTGGCTAAATATGATAAGCACTAGGGTCGAAATTGAATATTTGCCACATACTGCGGTTACCTTGAGGTAGATCACAAACATGCGTACCAAAATTTCTGCATTTCATGTACAGTTGCTGCTGGTATCATGTGTTGAAGAAATGTGTACAGTATGAAAAATTCTAAAATACATATGAATGGAGAGGGGGGGGCGGAAATGTTTTGAGGGGGGAAAATATAGATTATTTTTTCTCATGCAAACGATGGATGTGGTGTGGATTCAAGGCAAGATTGTTTTTTATTTTTAACTCTGCAAAAGGACGCGTTGTCGATAAAAAGAGTGTTTCTACGGGGTTTTAGTGCATTTCTTTCGTATTACTCCTCTAATTTTGCATTGTCAAGAATCTTTTTCTTTCTTACTTTTTTTTTTCTTTTCCTTTCTTTCTTTTTTTAATATACCCTCGGTGTGCAAAACGACATGCCAGTTTTAAAACAAAACATCGTCATGGTTTAAGGGAGGAGGGGGGAAAAAAGGAAATTCGGATCGTTAAAAACAATGGTAAAACGGGGGAAACTATAAGGAAATCCATAGCAAAGTTACATCATTTGATTTCAAGTAAAAAAAAAGAAAGAAAAGACTACTTATAATAATAATAATAATAATAATAATTAAAAAAAGGGAACACATTTCGCGAGTACAAAAAGAAAAAGGAAGAAGTGTCTGCTGTTTAGTTCAGGTGTTTCAAAATGCTGCTGTAGGCCTTATGGGGGATCTGAGGAGATGATTTCACAGCAGAAGGAGTGAGGGTGGCCTGCAAGGATTTTAAGGGTGAGCCAACCGGGGTGGGAAACTGGGGAATAGCTATAGCTTCAAGGTGCTTGTTAAAGAGAAATTCTCCGCTATTACTCAGAAAGTTCCCCTCTCTTTCGTTCTCCCTGGGCTTCCCATCTTCGGCTGGCTCAACTTCTGGAGTTTCGGGCTCTTCCTTCCTGCTAAAGAACCTGTCGAGATAACTAGGATAGGGGGGGTTCTCCTTCTCCATCTGCTCGTCCTTCCTGACCTCACAACAGAACTGGTCTATCAGGAAGCACTCCTCCCCGCCGCCGCCGCCGCTGACCAGCTGGCCGTCCCACGAGTTTTGGTAGAGGGCCTCCAGCTGGGCCAAGTTAGCCATTCCTTTCTCCTGCTTCTCCTTGCTGACCGACTTGGAGATGCCTTTGGGCTCTAGGTGGGACACCGAGCTATTGAGGTCGTTCAGCTTATCGACCGCAGCCGACTCGTGCTGCAGGCTCAGCTGAATCGTCCCCGCTATGAAGGAGTCGAAGTCAAAGGCTTGACTCTTCTCCTTCTCGGCCAGCTGCTGGGACGCCTCCTTGAGCGCTATCTGAGCTTTCACCCAGCCGTTCTTTTCGCACTTGGATTTGCCTTTCTTATCTGACTTCTCTTTACTCTGCTCCTTCCAGTTAGAAAGATCTATGATCAGCTTGGGCTCATAGTAATGGTTCACTTCGCTCTCTCGCCAGACTAAGTTATCTAGGTAGGAGGTGGACCTCATTTTGTAATTACAGGTATGGTTACATTCCAGATCGCAATACTTGTTCTCGTGGTGATCTGGGTACGGCCAACAAGGCTCGGTGGAGAAGTGGGTATCGAAAGCCGGGTCTTCGAGGTACTTTTCGCGGTCGCCGTCCAAATATTTCCGCGGGTCCACCTGCACTTCCTCCTCGTCGGTCCCATCCGACAGAGCCCTTGGATCTCGCTGGACTTCAACGGCGTCGAAGTTGTTGTGAACGGGCCATTCTTGGTCTGAGAACTGGCTTTCGTGATACCTGCGATAATGAGCCAAACGATAAGCACCCGTTTACTTTTTGGATGGATACCATATTTTTCAGAGTATAAGACGCACCCTTTTCCCTCAGAAAAGAGGCTGAAAGTCTGGGTACGTCTTATACATTGAATACAGCCTTTTTGCCACCTGAAACTCCGCCCCCGTCACCAAAATGGCTGTGCACAGCCTTTAGGAGGCTTCCAGAGTGCTCCTGGGGGCTGGGGAGGATTAGCAATGACCGAATAACGGGCCATTTTTTTGCTCAATTTTGCCCCTCCAGCCCCCAGGAGCATTCTATAAGCCTCCTAAAGGCTATCCATGCGCTTTTTTTTTTGACAAGAAACGGGCCCATTTTTGCGAAAAACAGGCGTTTTTTTGCTCATTGGGGGGGGGGCATCCCCTCAGGAGCATTCTATAAGCCTCCTAAAGGCTATTTGTGCTCTTTTTCCAAAAAACAAATGGGCCCATTTTTGCGAAGTCTGCAGAGTGCAAAACCTTTTTTTTTAATTTGCCTCTTCAAAACCTCGGTGCATCTTATATACTCTGGTGCGTCTTATACTCCAAAAAATACGGTAAATGCCCACGTTTTTAAGCTTAATAACCGGCTATGTGAATTTCTCACCGTTTTAATTTGAAGAACTATTCAGTGATAGCACACAGATAGTTTCCGAGTTGTGACCAGTCACTTTAGTGACCATTTGAGTCCATTACGAGACACACCAGCTACTTACAACCGGATTTCGCTTAACTTCTGGGGCATTTGCTTAATAACCGCCACAAAATGTGCTGGGAAATTCGGATTGGGTCACTTGATGCCTTGACTTACAACTGCAACAACTAATGACTATTTCAGAGCTCAGTTACGGTCGTAAGTCAAGGACTTACTTAAGAAAATACCTGGTCCTAAAGATGCCCTGAAATGTTTGCTCCAGATGCATATTTTAGCAGCATCTAATACCACGTGACATTCTACTACTTTATTAATAGTATTATTCACTACAAGTGTCCAGTATCATCTTCATTTAACAACCCCATAATCCCTTGCAGGGTGGAGCCGAGCATTTACTGGCCAGATGCCTTTCCTGTTGCCAGGGCGGAGTTACACTCGGCAGATATATTCTCAATGTGCCCAGAGAGAGAAATACCTGCCTCTACCTAGGATTGAACTCACAGCCTCCTGATTTGTGAGGAGAGAGCTCCACACTCTAGGCCACCACACCACTCACTACAAGTGTCCGGAATGATTTCTCAAAAGCTTACCTTTCCCAGTTATAGATGTTGCTGTGACTTTCATCCATCAGCAGAATGTCATCTACTTCATCCTCAATGTGGAAAGGATGACTTGAAATAGGCTCATCAGTTGGGAAGGAATAAATACTCATGTAAGGGTGAGACAAAGCTTCTTCCGCTGTCAATCGGTCCATGGGACTGAAGGTCAGTATTTGTTCCAGGAAGTCCAAAGCTAAAGAGGATAAATCCAATTTTTTAAAAAAATAAATAAATAAATCACATGAACAGAATATGAAGATGACATCTTTTATTATCACAAGTGTGTTTCACATTTCCGAAAACCACAACAATAACAACAATAGCACCTATATACTGCTTCATTGTGTTTTACAGTCCTCTCTAACCGGTTCAGAGTCAGTACACTGTCCCCAACGATCTGGGTCCTCATTTTATTGACCTCAGAAGGACGGAAGGCAGAGTCAATCTTGAGCCGGTCGGGATCGAACTCCTGGCAGTGGGCAGTTAGCTTGCAATACTGCATTCTAACCACTGGGAAGGAAGGAAGGTAGGTAGCGATAGCACTTATATACTGCTTCATTGTGTTTTACAGTCCTCTCTAACCGGTTCAGAGTCAGTACACTGTCCCCAACGATCTGGGTCCTCATTTTATTGACCTCAGAAGGACGGAAGGCAGAGTCAATCTTGAGCCGGTCGGGATCGAACTCCTGGCAGTGGGCAGTTAGCTTGCAATACTGCATTCTAACCACTGGGAAGGAAGGAAGGTAGGTAGCGATAGCACTTATATACTGCTTCACAGTGCTTTTACAGGCCTCTCTAAGCAGTTTACAGAGTCAGCCTGTTGCCCCCTAACAATCTGGGTCCTCATTTTATTGACCTCAGAAGGACGGAAGGCAGAGTCAATCTTGAGCCGGTCGGGATCGAAC